ATTAATTAATTTATTTATTTATTTATTTGAGACAGGGTTTCCCTATAGCCCCTGCTGACCTGGAGTTTACTTTGTAGACCAGACTGGCTCCAGTCTTAAAGGGATCTTCCTGCCTCTGCCTTCTGAGTGCTAGGATTAAAGATGTGCGCCACTGCACCCAGCCAAGACTTTAGTTTTAATTATATATATGTGTTTGGGGTACAGGGCTTGTACACATGAGTGCAGTGCCTGGGGAGGCCGGAAGAGGGTGTGGAGCTGGAGCCGGAGTTACAGGGGTCGGGCGTCTCCTTATGTAGGTGCTGGGAGCTTAATCTGGGTTCTCTGCAAGAGCAGTGCCTACTCCTTAACCTCTTAGCCGTCTCTCCAGACCCCTTGCCCACTCTTGTACCCCCACATCGTTGACGTGATTAAGAATCTTTACATAGTGTTCAATGAGAATATGATTTTAATTTTTTCCCTGATTTTTTTTCCCAATCTCATTCTTAGGTTTTCATGGTTTAATATATGATAATAAAACTGAATCCATGAGGACAATTAACCTCCTTCAACGAATGAATATTTACCAAGAAGTTTTCCTCGGCACTTTGTATAGAGCTCTGCCCATACAGGTATGTCCTGTCTCTGTCACTGGATCATTCCTACCTGTTGAAGGTCAGCACCTGCGTTCAGATGGAAAGTTTTGCCTGAGTTTTCTCATTTCATCTGCTTGGGTAGAAAATCCTGAGTGCTCTGATTTTTCTCCACATGCACTGTGAACTTAGATTTTTCTTCCCCCGTTATAAGATACTGCTTTATATATTTTTTCGTTTTGTTTTTCTTTGTTTTTGTATGAGAGAGGTCCCCTATAGCTCCAGCTGGACCGGATCTCGCTGTGGAAACCAGGCTGGCCTGGAGCTCACAGAGATCCGCCTGCCTCTGCCTCCTGAGTAGTGGGACTGAAGGCATGCGCCGGTACCTGGCTATGTTTTATGTTTTCACAGATAGATGCTTCCTGGCTTATATCATAATTTATAACACATATCCTAATGCATGCATGCAGCCTAGAAATGGATAAATATTTCATTTGAAGATGTGTAATCATTTTCAATTTACCTTTTTTTCTACGATTTATCTTGTGAAAAAATATAAAATCAGATCACAGCAATCACTTCTTATGTAAATAAGGCAAAATTAGACAAGTTAGGTGTAGATCTGTCTAGAGTAAATGGTGACGTGAACCCTCAGGGCCTTGCTTGCATCTTCGATTGCTAGTGGGAAGGAAGGCAGGCTTGGCCGCTCACTTTTGGGTAGAAAGGGGTAGTGTGGACTTACTGCCCGGGTCAATTGCAAGTTTCTGAGCATCGTGTTTCTCTGGACATATCTTTTAAAATGGCAGTAAGGAGGGTCAGGACTTCTGTGATAAGTGATGTTGAGAGCTGTAGGCCTGGCACATGGTAGGCCAGTGCAGAGCTACAGCCCCAGCCCTAACAAACATTTTTAAATTCTCTTTTACAGAAATATTTAGAACCTGTTTATTTTTATATCTACACCTTGTTTGGGCTCCAAGCCGTCTATGTCATAGCCCTGTATATAACCAGCTGGCTGCTGAGTGGTACCTGGCTGTCAGGACTATTAGCAGCTCTCTGGTATGTCACCAACAGGTGAGTTGGATCAGCATGCTTTTCTCTAAGTGTAATGAAGATGAAGCACCTTTTTCTAATGCAAAGGAATTTTTTCCACCATATTTCTTGGGTTGATAGCTTCTTATTTAGTAAAGTAGAAAGTCTTGTTTAGATGTATTTCCAGCTGGGAAATGGAGCAGCAACTTGCAGGTTCAGAGCATTATCTGTAATTATCCCACCTGTGTGGCCTGTTCTGTGATCAGTGTTTCTCCAATCATAGACCTCATCTCTACACAGTTTAACCCCTTCAGTAGCTCTGTGTGTGTGGGGGGGGGGTGTTTTACTAGGG